TGGCAACAGAGGTGGTTGGTAGGGGGGGGCGCCTACTACTACTACTACTACTACTACTACTACTACTACTACTCCTGCTGCTACTACTACCACTACTACTACTACTACTACTACTGCTAATTACTACTACTACTACTACTACTACTACTACTACTACTCCTACTGCTACTGCTCCTGCTACTGCTACTGCTACTGCTACTGCTACTACTGTCGCCGCCAGCAGAAGCAGCAGCAGCAGCAGCAGCAGCAGCAGCAGCAGCAGCTCCACCACCGCACCACCGCCACCACCACCACCACCACCACCACCGCCACCACCCCCACCACCACCACCACCACCACCACGACAATCTGCATTGCTGTGCAGCAATGTTGGTTTATCTCGTTCGAGGGTTGTGCAGTGTCAAACTGCTGACATTCCTCCGTAGGGGTACCTCTACCACTCATTGCGAACACCGGACTACAGCCTGCAGGGGCCTATTTAAACTCTAAACCCATAGGTTGCAATGAACCGTGCAGGACGGCCACTTGAAGATCACTTGGCACGAGGAGCCGGGGCTGACTTCCGAGTTTATCGCCGTGTGCAGCACGAAGCAAGACTGGCTGCAGCCTGTTGCAGCAGCTTGCAAGATGATGAAGGTGGCCCTGAAGGTTATCTATCAGCAGGGGCTAGCCGCAGATGTCTCTGAAATGGCAGACGATCTGTTCAGGAATGCGGCCGACGGCATGATCACACTGCTCGTGTGGTTGGAGGGCTTCTGCTCGCGCTCAGAGAGCACTGGTGGCAAGTCCCGGGAGACTTTCATGCGAGAGTTCGCCGAAGAAGTAAAAGAGCTGCTTCTCAGTCCCAATCGCAAGACGGAGCAGCAGACGCAGCATCTGCTGCTCGCTACCATTCTCACCTCATCCTTCTGCCAAAGTTGGCCGCTTCCAAAAATGTTCGTTTCTGTGCACAAGAAGGCCATGCAGGAATGCTTGAAGAATTACAATGGGGTCCTGAGTCAGGTCGGATGCCACAAAGACGGCTGCTGCTTGCAGGATGTAAGCAAGCGGATTCTGCAGCCCTTTGCCGACAGACTGAAGGTTCTGCTGAATAGACACTAGGTCTGCCAGTGGGCCCTTTTCAAGCCTTTTCATTTGTGTAGTGTTAGGTTCCTTCTACCAGCTGCCCAACAGCAAAAAGGGCGCCCCCTTTTTTATCCCTTAGCTGCCCTAAACCCTAAAACCCTAAACCCAGGACAAGAAGCAAAGGAGCTGCTGTCTCACGCTCGACTGCTTCAAACGTTCGCTTCGGGCCTGTCATCTTTGGGAGATTCTCTCCCATTTCAGCCATCCTCGAAGAATGACAACCTGAACCTAGGCTCTTCTTGCGCGTGTTTTCGAACTTCTGTACGGTCGACTAAGAAGCAGGAAAAGTTGCAGTGTTTAAAGGACATCGAAGAACTCAGGCATCTAGAACCTTAAACCCTAGTCGATGAACCCAGGAATCTCGATTACCTTCTGGCCGTCTGTGTGAAGCAGCACTCCGGGGACTTGGTGTCGTTCTTGAAGGATGTGGCTCCTCACATAGGGCAAGCTGCACCTTGGTTAAAATGGAGGGGGGGCGTGATTATGATAGTTTTATGGAAAGAGAAAAAGAACAAATAAAAGCATCAATGATTAATATTTGAATTTTGAATACATTCTAATAATTCGGGCTTACGGAGCCGTACCGTATGGGATAGGCTTTTGGGGTGTTCTAAAGTATATGATTATATTAGTAAGGAATCCCAAGGAGTAATATGGATAAATATTCAGGCGTCTACATTACTTTAGCCGTCGTTGTTTCTCGGCAGAAGACTTTCCCAGCGTGAGATAGTTGGATGCGTTTTAACCCGGAAAAAGGTTGGGGTTCGTGACGTGTAAAGTATGAGTTCTTGTGCAGGCAGCCCAACATGTTTGTGTCTGTGTCTCTGTGTGTGTGTGTGTAGAATTCGAGTTTCCCGCTATTTGTCTTTGGAGTTTTGATCTCATTAAAAGTCGCCACGCGAAATCCTGAACCGCACTGTTACATTGTACTGGTAATGGCGCCTTCAACATGTTAGGGCCGGGTTAGCGGTGTGTGTTTTCTAGGTAATGTTTAATGTGCTCGGATTTGGAGTTTGCCTTCTGCTACTGTTCAGGGTCTGGCTGTCAGGTTGGAAGGCTGCGCGATTCTGGGCATGGCCGGGCTGTCACAGCGGTTTTGAGATGCTGTATTAATAATAAGAGTTAGAAATAATTAGTCGTAATCGTAATGGCAGAAATCGGAATGGTAATAACAGTAAAAGAGAGATCCCCGGGGAGGTTTGGCTCATGGATCCTTGGCCAAAGATGGCTTTTTCCTCGTCCGGAACCCTTAACGAACTGCCCCCTTCTTGATTCAACAAAGAACCCAAAGGGTCCCATGTACTGTTTGGGGAGATACTTCCTTAAGTCATAATAGGAATTCCAAACATCGAAGCCCTACATCCTACTATATGGGTACTTTCGACCCTTTCAAGAGAAAGCATCAGGCGCTGGGTCGCCGGAAGCAACAACTAAATCTTGCGCCCCGAATCCACAAGGCGATGAACTCTTCAGACCTTGGTCGTAGAGCGACAGGTGCAGAACGCCAAAAGTCCAGCTGAAGTGCTGGCAACATGCGTGGAGCATATCAGGACCCCAGTCGTGGCTCCCTGCTCGACGTCTAGGGCCTAGATTGCTGGTATTGATGGTTTCCCTAAGCCCGAATCCCCTAGCCCCCAAACCCCTAGCTCCCCCATAACCCTAAACCGTAAACCCTAAACCCTAAACCCTGAACCCTAAACCGTAAACCCTAAACCCTAAACCCAACGGAATACATCGTCACCCTAAGACTAAGGACCTTGGCGTTTGCAAAGTTCTAAGTCCTGCGGCGAAGAAGTGGGTTGTTTTTTGCCGCACGGCTGTTCACCGCTGTTGGGTGCAGCATATCCCCAAAGGGTCCAAGTAACCGTATAGCATTAATCTTGGGGGTCCAAGTATCTATTCAGAGCCCACTATATTGGTACTTGGACTTTTTGGGATACTGGAACAGATACCGGAAGGTTCTGCTGACTTAGCAAAGAGGTTGTAGTGGGGGGCCCGAAGGGCGGCTGTCGTCGAGGCTGTCCTGTGCGTAAGCTTCAATGGGCGTATCTACCAAGACTAAGTTCCCCAAAGGACCCTAAGTGCCTACATATTAGACAGTAGAGTTTCCATCGCAGGAATTGTCCATTATGGTGTGGGTAAGTATCCCCCATATAGCTACTTACCCAAAACCCAAAACCCCAAACAATGGGACCCTTTGGGTATGGATCCCTGCGGTGACTGCTGGTGCTCAGGTTCTGTTCAAGGTTTGACGTGGAGCTCCGATGGCTCGAGGTGTTAGGGTTCAGGTGTTTAGGGGTTATAGTGCTTAGTGTTTGGGGTTTAGGGTTTAGGGTTTAGGGTTTGGGGTTTGGGGTTTAGGGTTTAGTAAGGGTCAGGGTTTATGGCACCTACTCGCAATGTCCTGGCATCTGCACACTAGTACTTGTCATTCCCCAGACACCCCTGGAATCTGAACTTACGCGAATGTCCTTAAACCGGAAGCACTTCATTTTCAATCCTCATACGAATGTCTACTGAAACCTAGATCCGAAGACGCAGGAAACTGGCCGGCATCGAGGACTGCGGGAATGTCTTGCAAATCGCAGAGGGTGTTTGCTCGGGCGCAGTCCCAAGTTTCAGCCGGCGAGTTGTGCACGAGCCAATGAATGAAGTGCAAGTAAGAAACAGTATAGCTGGTGCAAGGCGCACTTTGAGCTACAAGCCTGGTTTACAGGTTTTCCGGCAGTGCAGCGCATGGGAGTTGAGTTTGTTCTTTCAGTGCATCAGCACTGTGCACCTTGCTTGCTTCATGTGCAATCTTGAGATCTATACCCGAATGCAGATCAGCGTACGAAATCTCGGACAAACAAAACACATGCTGCACGATGACGGTTTGCCAGGGTGAAAGGCCTACATGGAAGAACCTCGGAGCCTTTCCGTTTCGTGAAAGATGGAAGTTTCAGGGAATAGGTCCCCGTTATACAGTTGTACAGAACCCTAAGTACCCTAAATACCCTAAACCTTGAACCCTAAATAGCAGGATCCATAGATAAGGACCGCTAAGTCTTGTATGGGAATCTTGGCCTGTACGCATGATACTACTTGGAGGCCCAGGGGACTTAGTCAGTCGGCTATAAGTAGGGTTATACTTGGGGGTGGCTCCATTTAACTCTACTGACAAACTACTTACTAAGTCCCCTGGACCTCCCAGTACGTGCAGTGTTCTCATGTGCTTGTTGGAATCCTCCTCACTTGGGCGTTTGGAGTGTTGGACCCTTTACGGCTGTGAAAAGCTTTTCAGGTGCCGACGGACTCTCTTTCGGGGAGCTTGTGCCGAACCTGATCAAAAGGCGGGGGCTTGCCGATTTCAATTCCGAAATCCTTCGACGAGGGAGCACCCACGACTCTGCCAACCATGTGCCTGGCCGTCAAAAGTCACACATCCAGTTGGCCTCCATGTAGCAAAGTAAGCACCATTGCGAGACCTTCGCAGCCCAATGTGAGTACCCTAAGGATGGTATTTCTGGTTCTGTGGCTCACCCGTTTCCCTCTTTCGAGTTTTTTTGGCTCCTGGATGTATTAGTCATGCTGAGCTGTTGACACGATTGTCTACAACCCTCGCTTTTCAATCGTAAGCCCAGTTTACTCTACTATCACTGGGCCTGGCTTTGTGGGAATGCTCTGGATATCCTGTGAGCGCCCCCCCCAAGCCTGGAATCGAGGGATTCACTCCTTCAGCTATTTCCGGCAACGTGTCGTTATCTCAGCGTACATGCGAGTCTGTTGAGTTTAAGTTAGGAGTCGGGCGGAAACGCAGAACGCACCCGGTGTAATTTTCCTGCCTTCAGGGTCCAATTATCCAGAATAGTAGGGTGTTACCCATAGGCCCCTAAGTAGTTCCTTTTTGGGATTACCTTATAGGATTCTAAATATAAACCATAAAAAGGAACTACTTAGGGGCCTATGGGTAAGCTCCAAAGCTCCCCAGAGTTCCCGGCATCTCCCGAGAATGTATTGCAGTGAGACCCCATGGAAACCACTGCGCATATGACAGTCAAATTCGCCGAATATGAGCCTAGATACATACTATCCTAAACCCCAGTACCTTATTCTCGTGTCCTTAGGACCCTCTGGGTAAAAACCTCCATGCTGCCAGTTGTCCCCAAAACCCTAAACCCTAAACCCTCCCGGCTGCCAGTTGTAGAATCCTGAAGCAACTCCTGGCGAAGGAAGGGCGAGGCAGGTCGTGTCGAGTGTAAGAAGCGGCCCTTTAAAGGGTTTAGGGTTTAGGGTTTAGGGTCCTTGCTTTATAAGTAGAATCTTTTTTTTGTTTAAGGGGGGTGGGTATATAGCACAGTATTTGTTGGTCCACAAGGGACTACGACTGCTAATTAATATTCTGTACATTATGAACTTCACCAGTGTTTCTAGCACGGTGGGATTATCAAGCAATGTGTTCATGATTCTTGTAGAGGATGGTCAAACATTGCGGTATTTGTCTGTGCGTGTGTCTGTGTATGCGTGTGTGTGTGTGTGCGCGCGCGCGTACGTGTGAAGAGGGTATAGTTGTTCTGTTTCTTTAGTTGGGTGCTTCCAGTAAGTCCTGGATATATGTTTGGTAAGACTCGTAGACTGCTTGGGGCCTTGGGGCATGCAAGGCACACACTGCAGCCTCCTGACATGCAGAGTTGTAGTTACTCTCCTCTTCCAGTGATGCGTACACTTCAGGCCTCCGCACATGTGGAAGTGTGGCACCAATCAAGGTTGAAAGTGGTCTTCACGGACGTACCAGTGTTGTGTGTTTTAACTGCCGGTGTTACCCTCAGCTGAAAACAAGACCTTCTCAAAGTAGATGATTCCGTTTCAGGACCCGCTTCGGTCGGACCCTACTACTTGGTGTCTTAAGTTGGGTCGGGGCTGACAATGATACTGTGAGAACTACAATGGAGGTCAGCTTTCGAACTTGCGAGAACTCTGAGATCAACCGCACGGATGTTGTTGGTTGGAGTGCCGAACTGATTTGTACAGTATCTGTCTTAGAGCATGTCTACAGAAAACAGACCTCTATTCCCAGAAGCATATTGACCTACATACATCCATGCTGAAAGAGGTTCAGAAGCCCGAATCTCAAAGTCTTGCAGGTGCGGCAAAAGCATCAGAAGAGATCCTCTCACAGTTTCTGGCACCCCTGTTCTTCGTGTCCTCGGTGTCAGACTCTGAACTGGAGCAGTGCATTGCCCACATCGTTTGCCTGCAGAGGCAGCTGAAGTGGCAAGTTACTGCGGTATTGCATGTTCTGAAGCTACTCGTCAACAGGATGACCACCGAAATGCGCTTCAACGAACATGCCAAGAGGCAGTCATTCCTGGCGAACCTCCGCACGCACGAGCCTGTTGTCGAGGCCATGTTTTTGGCATTCCGTGAGTGCACATACCCTCAGCATGCACTTGAGTGGATAGCCAGAGAAGGAGACTGGCTTCAACCGGATGCCATGTGCAACCTGGCTTTGAAGCTCCTGAAGGCGTTCAACAATGTGAAGCTGCAAGCAGAGGCGTGGCAACGACTTCTGCTTGTCTCCCGTGGCGCCTCGAGATTTGGGATTCTGTTGATGGCAGCGGCACAAAATCTGCTCCTCGGTCCAAGATTAGCTTCTGATTGCAAGCATGTGAGGAGTTAATGTCTCGGATGCGAATACTTTAGGGGACCTCGAGTTGGGCTATTTTCCTGTCTTAGCCATTGCCTTACATAAACCTGTACAATAATTCAGGACAGCCAGAAGCCAGAAGTACTGGTAGCAGCCACCTTCCGGGATACCGGCCAAAATGGGAGCCATTGAGTGAGACCCTGTGATTGATGTGTTGGCGATGATGATGATGATGATGATGGTGGTGGTGATGATGGTGGTTGTGGTGACAGTGATGATGTTTATGATGATAGTGTTGGTGATATTGATGTTGATGATGCCGTTACTGATGCTGATGACGTTGACGATCATGGAGGCTTCGATAATGTTGGTAATGGTGATATTCGTGAGCGCATCAAAGGTATTGCGAGAAACTGATCAGAAAAACAGGAGTCTCTGGGCACCTTGAGGTCTGATGCTGCTGAAGTTTGCAAGCTACTACGGACCGCGCAAGCGTTCACCGATCAGACCGAAAGCGAGAGGTGCCTGTAGGGTTGATATGTATGTTCTGTGAGGACATCCGAAAGCATGTGGTGTTGGCTTTGGATGGGGTTTAGAATCCTGGTTCAGGAGATATGGAGGCTTGCCGGTCAGGGGTCTCAGGATTTATGATTACGTAATTACGTAATTGTTAAGGGTTTGGGGGTTCGCGCACATGTTTGTGGTTGAGGATTTTGCGCTGGGATAGAGATGTATCGGCTGTCTTGCTTCTGCTTCCAGTACTACTAGTACTTGTTTTTGAATGCAGTCGGAGTTCAGTCGTTGGCTGGTCTCTTCGTTGTGTTATTCCAGACCATGATCTTTTCTATTGTTCCCACTGAAGCATGCATGGCTTTGGGTCACCGTAAGTTTTGGCTTAATGAGACGTAGAGCAGCTCCAGAGAAGAATCCTGCTATCAGCCCGTCATGCACAGAGGCATTGCGGTTCGGGTCTGGGAGACTTGAGTGGTCCAGGAGCATTGCTGGCTGTTGGGCCGAACTCAAGCTCTGAATGCCTTTCATTCAGTTCGAGACCGGCACTCTGCTACCAAGCCGAACTTCCCAATCCAGCCATGACTTCCAGGTGTGCCAGGGCTGCAATTGGGCAGCTGTCCCCGTGGACGGTGCCTTTGGCAGAGTTGGCGGCAAACGCCGATTGGCTGTCAAGCCTTCTCATCGAGGCCAGACTAAGTTTTTGGGTTCAGGGCTCCGAGGATTTGCTGTCTCTAGCCCTAATGCTCCGTGTACCCATATAGTCATGTAGCATATACGTAGGCTTCAAAAAGCACCGATTATGTAATATAGGACCCTAGGCTCCTTAAGAAAACCCTAAGCCCTTGTTTGAGGCGCCGTCGGTTGTTCGCAGCTTCAAGGTCTTACATCCTCTAGGGCCCTAGGACCCTCGGGCTTTGGGTTTAGGGTTTCACGGTTTAGGGTTTAGGGGTATATAGGGTTTAGGGTTTAGGGTTTAGGAGTTTAGGGGTTTAGGGGTATAGGGTTTAGGGGTATAGGGTTTAGGGTTTAGGGTTTGCAAGAGTTCACAGGGTCTTTTCAGCACCAAATGAAGCAGCGTTCCACTGATTCTCAGCCGCCTAGTAAGCCCTGGTAATCCAAGACGAAAAAGTCCGCAATGGCCATATCATTTCCGTTTCCTTCCGTTTCCTTTCAGCGCACACCCCCTTTTAAGCCATGTCGGAGACCTGAACCCGTACCCTAGGCCCTAGACTAACACAAAAGACCACCATACCCGCACTAGAACCTGAACCACCCGACCTAATCCAAGCCGAACCACACACCCAAACCTAGACCTTCATACAAAACCGACCATAGAACACCCCCTAAGACCCAGACCTGCTGCAGTCCTAAGCCCGTTTTGGGTTGCAGGCTCGTTCGGCGACATGTTCTACTGTGCGTGCCGTTTAAGGAATCCTTGGATTGTGGTGGCTAGTGGGTCCTTGGCTTCAGGATTCCATGCTTCAGGGTTAGGGGATCGCCTGACCCTGAAAGATTTGCCGTCCTAGGGCAAACTGCACGTGTGGAGTGTTTGGAGGGTGAAACAGAGACAAACCTGGAGTTTGCAGGCTTGGATACCCTGTGTAGCAGACGTCCCTCTCGGCACGAAGAAGGAAGAGTCATTCTTGGCATGGCTGAAGGCCGGTTTCAGGGTTCAGGGTTTAGGGTTTAGGGTTCCGGTTTCGGGGTTCAGGGTCCAGGTTTTCTGCCTCCGTATATAGGTGAGGTCATCAGTCTGATCGTCAGTCATGTGGAGAATACAGTCAGGAAGTGACTCCTAGAATATATGTCAATAGCCATCAGCAGTCACAGAGGTACTGGATGGTTGGATGAGAATAATTGAAAGCACTTGAAGCAGCGCCCCTGTCCAGAGCAGCCAAAGCTCTAGCATTAGCACACCGAAAATGTGTCTTACATGTCATGTGTGTGCTTGGTTCTGTGAGTTGCCCTGAAACCCCAAAAGCAATAAACCTTAAACCCGCATCGTAAGTAGACCCTAGAACCATGGAAGCCCACAAAAGTAACTCAGGCAAGCGTAATTTCGGCTTGCCGGCTAGTGGGCCATATAGTCCATGTCTCTCCTGTTTGACAGCGCCAATGCTCCGCTCAATTGATTGATGACGACTATACACGACAGCCACAGCAATTGTGTTGTTGATCTGCTGTTGTGCTCTGCAGCAGTCGGCCACTGTTGCTACTTGAGCTTTCCGCAGCAAATGCAATGCTGGGGTCATGCTGATACACCCGATCCGCCTTGCCATTATGCTCGTGGTTCCTCTCTCTCTCTCT